GAGACTCCAACTCAAAAAAGAAAAAAAAAATTCCCCAGAAGATCAGAATCCTGAAGAACGCTGTTCCAGATGAAACAAACTGAGTATATGAAGCAAATGGGTCCTGGTAACGCAAGGGGTGGACTGTGGTGGATTTTTTTTTTGAATCAGAATCTCACTCTGTCACCCAGATTGGAGTGCAGTGGTGTGCCAATGGCCACTGAAGCCTTGACCTGCTGGGCTCAGGCGATCCTTCTGCTTCAGTCTCCCAAGTAGCTGAAACTACAGGCACACGCTACCACACCCAGCTAATTTTTTGATTTATTGTAGAGACAAGGTCTCGCCAAGTTGCCCAGGCTGGTCTTGAACCCCAGGGCTCAGGCAATCTTCTTGCTTCTACCTCCCAAAGTGCTGGGATTACAGGCGTAAGACACCACCGCCTGTGGTGAATTCTGTGGTGACCAAACCAAGTGCCCAAGTGCATTTTCAGTCCGTATTCTTTACTTATAACACAACGCATCCTAAGTGGTCCCCTCACACACCCTCATATAGACTGGACACACACATAGTCGCAGAACTACCATGACACAATAAGACACACAATCAGGCCAGGCTCAGTGGCTCACCCCGTAATCCCAGCACATTGGGAGGCTGAGGCGAGTGGATTGCCTGAGCCTGCAAGTTGGGACCAGCCCAGGCAACTTGGTGAGACCTCATCTCTACAATAAACCAAAAATTAACTGGGTGTGGTGGCACGTGCCTGTAGTTCCAGCTACTTGGAAGGCTGAGGCGGAAGGATCGCCGGAACCCAGCAGGTCGAGGCTGCGGTGGCCGGGAGCGCGCCAACTGCACTCCAGTCTGGGTGACAGAGTGAGACTCCAACTCAAAAAAGAAACAAAACAAAAAAACAAAAGACACACAATCGTACACACACTGTGGTAGAACAGAGATGGCCTCCCCAAAGATGCCCGACCCTCATCCCTGGACCCTGTGTGACTTGCAGGTTACACAACAAAGGGAGCTATGACTGAGGTTCATGGACTGTGGGTAGGGAGGCAGTCCTGGATGACAGGCAGGGTGCAATTTAATCACATGAGTCCTGAAAAGCAGAGAACATTTCCTGGCTGGAGAAGAAAAGAGATGTGCCAAAAGGAGAGGTTGGGGGGACTCCAGCATCAAGAGGACGTGACACCGTCGCTGGCTCTGAGACAGGTCCCATGTATCAGGACCAGGGAGGCCGTGGGGAGCTGGGGACTGATCCCACAGATGGAGAAAGTGGGGCCCTAAGTCTGCCATCCATGAGGACCAGCGTTCCGCCAGCGTCAAGACCCAGCTGGGACGCAGCTTATTCCAGGGTCCCAAGAAGAACCAAGAAGAACCAAGAAGAACCTGGCAGTGACATCGTGGTGTTAGTCTGGGAAACCTGGGGCAGACAAACCAGACTAACCACCCTACTGGGCCACCAATGTGTTTCCTTAAGACGCTACATTTGTGATGACGGGTGTTGGCGCCAGCACCAAAGGACACACCCCCCCCACAGGCCTACGGCACAAGAAGTGTCTTTTCTTCACTGTTTATTTCAACAAAGTTTATAAAAGTAGAAAAATAAACATTTCACTGGAGGTGAGTTTGAGAGTCCACGCAATAAATACACAATAAATAAATACATATTGCTGAGTGGCAATAAGTTAAGACAAGTGGTTGAGGTATAAATGGATTCTGAGATTCCACGGAGGAGGCAGGAGGTGAGAGGGTCAGACACACATCTCTCCACTGGCGACACATTTCAGGTCCCGCGTGAGGAGGCGGAAGAGGTTGAACGTGACGGAGGCCTGGAGGCAGCCAGGGGACTCCTGAGGGGAGGAAGGACGGTCAGTGGCTGCCCATGGTCTGGGCTCCCGGCTGCTCCCCGCACGCCAGTCCCCTCCCGGTCACCCACCTTCTCCGGGGCCTCCTGGAGCCGCTGCAGCCAGTGATGGAGGTGGCCCCGGGGCCTGGGGCCTGTGGGGGGCTGAGCCGGGACCTGAGGGCAGAGGAGGCACAGTGTGAGGCGGGGCTGGGGCCACAGGGAGGACAGTGCTCAGAGCCCAGCTATGGGTGCCCAGGGGCCCCGGGACTCACACAGGCCCGGAGCTGGGAGTGGATGTGGCGCAGCGTGTGGAGGGGCCGGTCCAGGACGTCCCCCAGGGTCGGGTCAGCCACGGTCCCTAGGACCTTCCGGGTCAGGGCCAGCTCAGCCTCCAAGGCCACTGCGCGCTGCCACACCTGGGGGAGGGGAAGGAGACGGGAGAGAGATGTAGGTGAGGGAGAAGGGAGGTGCAGAGGGGACCAGGTGAAGGAGACAGGTTGGGGGACAGGGCACAGGTGGGCATCTGGAGATGACGGATGAGAGGGGACAAGCGAGAGGCCAACCCCGAGCTAGGTGGGCGGGGCCGGGGGACGGCAGGGCTGGGCACCAGTCTCCACTCACCTGCAGCTGCGTCAGGTCCCAGGTCCTGGGGAAGAGGCGGGAGTGGCACCTGCAGTCCTTCAGCAACAGGGACTCTTCCTAGACAGCAAGGGTGCAGGTTAGCCCCGGCAGGAGGAGGTTAGACCACTGCAGTGGGGTTGGAGACTGGCGACCCAGGATGGGGCGAGTGGGTTCCCAGGGGGGTGGGAGAGGCCCCTCCGCTGCAGGGGGCCAGGAGTCGACCCCTGCAAGAGGAGCAGGAGCTAGCCCACTGCAGGGAGGGTGGGGGCTAGCCCAGGGAGGGAAGGGTGGAGGCTAGCCCACTGCAGGGAGGGAGGAGGCCAGCCCGCAGCTGGAGGGCAGTGGGGAGACTCACCAGGGCGTCCTTGGCCCTCTTGAAGGCCTGCAGCTCCTGTGGGGACAGGGACTTGAACTGGGCGATGTGGCAGTCCCTCGCATGTGGGTGAGCCCTGGGGGTTCTGGCGACAGGACCGGCTCCAGCCCTGGTCAGCACCGTGGCCATCAGCAGCAGCAGCAGCGTGCAGCCCCGCACCATGTCTGCGTCGGGAAGGAAAGGAGGCTGAGGGTGAGCGTCGGGCGAGGCGGGCTGTGGGGGGCGAGTGCAATGGACGGGTTCGCGGGCTCCCCTAGGGCCGTTCCTGGTCTCTGGTCTTCGTGGCGGGAGGGGCCCACGTGTCCGCTCCTAGGCCGTCACTGGGGTGTCTCCCTTGGTCTCGTTTGCAGTCTCTGGCCTCAGTCTCCCCTTCTGGACCTCAGCCTGTGCTCTGTCCTTGGCCGTGTCTCAGTGTCCAGCTGAGTCTGAGATGTGAGTCCTGCCTGAGCTCCATGGTGCAGCTTTTAGCCTGGACAGAAGGGCAGTCCCCGCTGATGAAAGAAAAGTGAAAACACAGCGGAGGTTGACACTGGCCAGCAGGGGAGCCCCAGGCTGGGGAAGCCCAGAGCAGGGCGGGGCCCTGAGCCAGGTAAGCAGCTGGAGGGAAAGAGAAACTGGTGGGGACTCAGGGTCACCTGTGCCAAGGTGTGTCCCTGAGAAATCCTCAGTGCTGGGGCAACTCCAGTTCTGAGGATTCCTCTAGTGAACAGATGAGTTTTGGAGCCAAAGGATCAGGGGTTCAAGCCTTGTTCTGAGTCTCACTACCATGTATGACCTTTGGAGAGGGAGTACAACACAGATTGCTACCCCAGACTTGGACAAAAAGTAATGCAATTTTAAGCCAGCATGGTGGCTCATGCCTGTAATCTCAGCACTCTGAGAGGTGGAGGCGAGAGGACTGCCTCAGCCAAGGGTTTTGAGACCAGCCTGGGCAACTTGGGGAGATCGTATTCTCTACAATAAATTAAAAAATTAGCCAGGTGTGGTGGCGTGTACTTGTGATTCCAGCTACTTGGAAAGCTGAGATGGAAGGATCACCTGAGCCCAGCGGGTTGAGGCTGCAGTGGCTGCGAGCATGCCACTACACTCCAGCCTAGTGACAGAGTAAGACTCCAACTCAAAAAAGAAATTGTATTATGCGTGTGATTGTTCAGTAGACACCATTTATTAAGACCACAGCATCGCCTCAACTGGATGTTCAATGTTATTATTTTATTTTCATATTTTTGGAGACAAGCTCTTGTTTGTTGCTCAGGCTAAAATGTAGTGGCACCATCATAGCTCACTGCAGCCTGCACTCCTGGGCTCAAGTGATTCTCCTGCCTCAGCCTCTCTAGTAGCTGAAATACAGGCATGTGCCACCATGGCTATTTTTTTTTTTAGAGAAATGGAGTCTTGCTGTGTTACACAGAGTGATCTTGAACTCCAGCCTTATGTGATTCTCCTGTCTTGGCCTCTCTAATTGCTGGCATTACAGGTGTCAGCCACTGCACCCAGCCCAGAATTACACTATAATTAAGTGTCAGGGTCAGAATTGAAACTCCAGCCACCCGATTCCCTGGTCAGCCCTTTCTTGCTATAGAGCTCACTTCAAAATTATCACACAGAAAACAACCAATGCAATGGGACATTCTTTAATAACTGCCAATAAATTAAAAGCAGGAGACAGAACTGCAAATACAGGAATTTTACAAATATAAACGAGACACATGCAACGGAGTCCAAGAACGACTAGAACGACTATCATTTAAGGTCGTTTCACTCCCAAATTCCTTAGGGAGTGGTGCCCCCCGGGTGGGGACTCCAGAGTCAGAGTCACAGAATCTCAGCGCGGGTGGGGAGGCTTCACTTCAGGGGTCGGGGCCTAGGCGTGGGAGGAGGAGGGTCCCGGTAACCACACCCAGGAGGAACTGGACCAGGACCGTGGGGGCCAGCACTGCTCCTAGAGCTCCAGTCTCCTCCGGCCAGACCAGCCCCTGGAGGAGCTTCGGGCAACCCCTTCCATCGGAGCATCGCTGCTTCCCGGGCACCTGCGCTCCCCGCCCGGGGAAGAGCAGCCACGCCTCCCGCATTCCTGGCAGGTGGATTCAAGACTCACGCGGGGGCGGGGTCTTCGGGGCGTCCGCGCCCATTGGCTGAGAGACTCGCCTGGTTCAATAGGGCGACAGAACGCCGCGTCCAGGCAGCCAATGGTGTGGGGGTTTGGGGTCTCGGAGGCGGGGCCAGAGACCCAAGTGCTTCTCCAGCCAGAGGTCCCACGTGAGCAGGTGCAGGAGGCTGAAGATGATGGTGGCTTCGTGGCGCCGAGGCGAGTCTTGGAACTGGAAAGGGGCCGGAGCGGGGCCGAGCCTGGAGCTTCTTCCCCAGCAGCTCTCTCGAGTCCTCAGAAGCCCCAAGCTCAGTCCTGTCCGTTTCAGCCTCACGTGGTCCTCCCTGCGGTCTAACTCCGGTACCGCCTGCTCGGCTCCCAGGCCTGCAGGTTTGGGGACGCCTCCTGGGCGGCCGGGGGATTTCCTGGAGGAGCCTGGCCTCATCAGCTCAAGCTGGAGGTGGCACACGAGGTAGACGAAGCGGCGAAGCACGGAGGCTCCGTCTTATGATCCGCGCGTGGCCCTCCCAGCCTCAGACTCAAGCCCGGATCTGCGGACGCGGGCAGGACGTGAATCGGGTCCGGATCCGCTAAGCGGGACAGACTAGCCAAGCGGTGGGGCTGGCT